AAATAAAACGAACAAAGAACTCTTTATTTCTTTTAAATTCCAATATAACTTGACAAATTGACGCATTTAAATCAATAGGAGAATTTTCTGAGAAAATTCATCCTTGGAATCAGGTAACTTGTCAAACGAATGAATTCATGCAAGAACCAATCTTTATACATGCATATATTATAAAAGGAAAAGAGATATGCACTTCAAATTTTGATGATCAAGAATTCATTCGAAAGACAGAACATAACGATTTGACAATATTTTCAAACAAATGTTATTTTCTATGAAAAAAATCGTTTTCGATTCACGAATCGAACAAAAATATGCTTTCTACAATAAAAAATAAGAAAACAAAACAAAACAAAACAAAACAAGAATTTCTTTTTTTCCTTAAAATGGGAAAAGACAAGTTCGAGTCTATATTTGAAGTTCTTTGAATTTCATAATTCTTTTATTTTATGAATACGCAGATATTGATGCCACATGTGAACTCTCTTGCACACGGATATTCACGAATATTAGCTGATTATATAAATAAAAAGTCTTATTATACAAGATTATTTTCCGTTTTTTTTTTAATTTCTTTTTTGTTGATAAACGTTTTTGTTTATATATAAAACAATTCTGAATATTTGCATTCTTTACACACGTAATTTGTTTCAAGAATACCTTCTCAAAATTAGATATTATAAAATGGTTTCTCATAACACATATTATAACATGCAATTTATTTACCATGCACGAATCTATCATGTGGTTGTGTTTGTATTATTACGCTATACTACTTCGAGAAAAAAGATGTATGTGATGTCCATGTAATTTTCATTTATATTATTTTGAAGAAAGATAGAAACTATAAATTTTATATAAAATGAAATAATTTAAAATGATCATGTCTAATAAATAAATACTCTAAATAAATAAATATTATAAATAAATAAATATTATAAATAAATAAATATATACATATCTCGCATTCTATCGGTTAATTTATAAATTATATTTATCCAGATTTTGCATGTGTTACTTTTTTTATACCACTTTAACATAGTCGATAAATATCATACGAATGTATATATTATATATCATGTACATATACAACCTTAATCGAATGTTTATATTTATTATTTTCAATAATATCGTTGATTTATTTATATCATCGTTTTGTACATTTTTATAATAATTTCCTTGTTGTTTATTAAAAACAAATGAATAATTTTATTATGTAGATCAATAATATCTGATTGGAAGACACTTCTTACACGGAACGTATCTCGAAATGATACGTTTCGCATCGTTTGCGCATTGTCGACCAGTTATCAAGTATAAAGACGACAAATCAACAAAAAACTACACGATGAAATTCTGCGATCATTTCAGTGACTTAAATTTGTCAGTATCGTAGCAACTCCGATGAACAGAATATATATCGAGAAGATTATTATAATAATGATGTTACTTACAAAAAAGTAAAATAAGAAGAAGAAGAAAAAAAAAAGAAAAGAATAAAAAAAAATAAAAAAGCATAAAAAAATATTAGATGCATCCGTTATTACATTATATCCCTTACAAGAACGCGTTAAAGAATTTCTTAAAGCCATTAAAAAGTATTAACTTCCCCTTGTCACTGTCACATTGTCACTATGGGTGATTCTTCACTCCTAATATACCGTGAGGACGATTTAAAGAAATTATTTTAGAATTTTCGAATCAAGAAAATAAAATTTTTTTCACAATTGTATTTGTTATTCGGCTTCGTATTTGTATTGGCAATGTTTAGTTTCCAAGATAAGTGCGAATGCATTCAATGTATTTCAGTAATCACGGTAACCAAATGCGCTAATATATAAATATATATATTCGCTTGAATATAATAGTCGCCAGCGACTAGTCAATAATCCGCTTTTAATTTCTTAGGTAGCACTCTTAGAATGACTGACGTATCGACAAGATTAAATAATTTATCTTCTTGTATTATTTGTCATTATCTATATGTTATTATGTAATTGTTTAACAATCATTAGTATCTCTTTGATAAATTCCATTATTTGATTATTTATGTATTTATAAATAAAATTATAATTGCAATATATAATAAACACATTAAAAACAATCATTTCTATCTCTTCACTTTAATATCTCCATAATATAGAAAGAATACATGTAATATCAATTTAATAACTACTTAAAAATTTAAGATGTAAATAAAGAATTATCATCAGCGATGTGATGTAATCTGTATAACTTTGTACATTTTACTATTATTTTATTTATTTACTTTCGTTTTTAATTTGTTATCTAATCAAGTGATTTCAATATGTCTCTCATTTCTTTTTTGTTCTAGATAATATCTAATATTATTAATTTATTCTTATACAGGGTGTTCCATTTAGTACGTGTAACTTCATTGGTATATTAAAATAAGTAAAAAATAAGAATCGATACATTAAAATAAGAAAAAAAATTCATATAAACGTATGTTTATAAACGACTGTTTCCAACATACAACCTTCTTTTTTGTTATTATTATATCAATTATCGCCTGAGTAAAAAAATGCTCGAAGTGACCATTTATGGTTCAAATACAAACTTCTAAATATCTTATCCTTGAGATTCTATCCAAAATAATCTGATATAATCTAAACTTGTAGGCAATCTCCAATAATACTAGAATATCTCAATTTACTAAATTATTACGAATTATTTATGAACAAAATTATCTACTATATATGTGTTTTATATATTAACTTTTTAATAATTATTTTAAATTATATTATATAAACTTTTTTAATACTTTAAGTAGTCCCATAGATGAAAATCTATTATATTTAAGCCCAACGATCGAAATAGCCAATTAATTCCTCTACGATCAATTTATTTATTAGGGAATTGTTCATTTAAAAACTATCTTGCTAATCCACTAAAATAAGAGGATCAATACATAAAACGGTTGTATCTCATAAACAAGGTCATATCAAGCTTTCTTAGTTTAATATATTGAATACTCCGACGAGAAATTATATACACATTCTGAAATACCCTCTATATTATTATGTAACTATTATTTTATAGATGATCACAAAGAAATAGTGATGCATGTAATATTGATCGAGTACGAAAAAAATCGATTTTTATATATTTTCAAGGGATATCGAATGTAAAAAAAATTTGTTTTTTGATATATATATATATATATATATATATATATATATATATATATATCGGAATATATGCGTGTGTATATATATATATGTATATGCATATATACACATATAGAGTGTTTCTTAAATAGACAGCCATACTTTAAGAGCATATTCTACTTACTAGTAAGAATGAAAAAATCCTATAAATATAGGTCCGAAAATGCTTCCTCTCCCGATCATAAACTTTTTATTTACCTCAAATAGCATACATTAATACGAAAAAAAAATCATTTTCAGCAGTTTTTGTAATAAAATATTCCAATAGTTTTAAAAGTTCTCAAAATCTGTCATAAACCAAAAATGTTTATAAATTATAAAGAAAGTGTTTTCGTAACAATGTCTATATGACTATTTTTCTATTCTTTGATTGACTAGAATATACACTTAAAATTCGACGATTAATATCTGATACATCTTGTATGATAAGATATAAAATTATCTGTTAAGAAGCGAATAATACGACAGTATCTATTCTATTCTATTCTATTCTATTCTATTCTATTCTATTCTATTCTATTCTATTCTATATCTTTCTTTCTCTTTTTTTTATACATGCTTCTTAACAACATCGAAGAAAAACTGCGGAGTACCTGTTCAAAAAAGGATACACTTTTCACGTGTCACGATAAATCGAAAGAGAAGGGACAATATTTCCCTAACGCGCTTTTAGTTCTTTTTTTATCCGTATCTGTCGCTAAAGTCACACATGACTCCAAGAGAAGACGGGAGATGGTAAGTAGCATTAAACGCAGATGTTATATCAGCGTGCACATATATACAGAAAAATGTACAAAAATATATATATACATACACACATCATGCATACATATAGATAACTAGATCGTCTGTTATCTCTCTTAATCTTTCTTTTTTCTTTCTCCCGAATGCGATAAAGATAAAGGAATAAAACCGGAATCTTTCTTACCGATTTATTGAATACGGAAAAAACGTTTATAAACGCTATCGAAGCTTAGATTATAGCAAAACGAATTCTGATGCACCTAAAATAGAATTCTTCTAGTCTATCGTTATAGCGATTTCCTACGCGAATACGGCAGAAGAATTAAAATACGCTATGATTATGACAAACAACAGAATGAGAAAGGTCTATGAGTCTATCTCTTTTGAATCTACTTTGCGCATAGTATCGAGCAAGTACTTACGTACGTAAGGCTCCTTACTTTTCTCTCTATCTCTCTCTGACAATATCATCTCATAAACCACCAAGTTGTATTGATCTCATTTTAAATATTTTAGATATTTGTATGTGTTTAAAAAAATCTTCGTTATGAGAGACTAAAAACCCAAAAAGAGAGAAAGAGAAAGATACATGTATGTATATGTGTGTATAAAGTGCGAGAGAGAGAAAGAGAGAGAGAGAAAGAGGAAAGATAGTCTTTTTCTTGTAAATGTAATGAATAAAAATACGTTCAGGATGTTCGCAGGGAGAATGTCTGGGATGTGCCGAATAAAACGGAAAGAACAAAAGAATGAAAGAGACAGAGACAGATACAGAGAGAAAGAGAGAGAGAGAAAGAGAGGGAGAGAGAGAGAGAGAAAGAGAGGGAGAGAGAGAGAGAGAGAGAAAGAGAGGGAGAGAGAGAGAGAGAGAAAGAGAGGGAGAGAGAGAGAACCACAGAGAGAAATAGAGAAAGAGAGAGAGAGAGAGAGGGATGCAAAAAGATTAAGAGATATAAAGAAAGATAAAAATAGAAAGATAACGATAGAAAAAAATGGATAGATAGATAAAGAGAGAGAAAGTGAGAAAGAGAGAGAAAGAGAGAGACAGAGAGATCGGGCGCGCACCTTGACGGTGCGTGTGATGGATAGGCGCGGCTTTTCGGCCCGTGCCGCGCATGAAGACTCAGGCTTATATCACTGATATTCCTCCTACCTCTCGTATCTGAACGTTCCCACCTTCTCACCGAATATTCTCCCTTCTATGGGCGTTTTCGGCACTCCCAGTTTAACACAGGATCGCAAACTTCTTACGTTCACGATACTTTTCAGCTCGTGCCCGTCGCACACCAACCGAGTCCGCCATCTTGGAGCAACTGCCAAATCCCTGCAGGCCAGCCAATCGTCCGCCTTGAAAATTTACTACGCTTCAAATGTTCTCTTTTCTTCTTTTTTTTCTTTCTCTTCTTTCCTTTCCTTTTTTCTTTCTTTCCTCCTTTCTTCCTTCGTTTATTTCTCTTTTCTTTCTTCTTTTCTTTCTTTATCTCTCTCACTCGTTCGCTCTCTTGTTATCCCTTCTCACCAATGATTTGTAGGAACCGTTCGATTTACTTACTCTTCTAACTACTTTTATCTCGTTCTAGTTGAAAATATATTTTCGATCTACTGATAAGATGTCTATTTTTCTATTAATTAACATTTATCCACGACTCCACATTTTTGTATGTTATGTTTCACAAGTCACATTTTGTCCTATATTACTTTTTCTTCTTTTTTGCTCTATTATGGTTTTTTTTTCTTCGCGTATATAGGTATATTCTTATTCAACCATGTTCCCATATATTCGTCTATCTATACCGCACTGCTGTATTGTTATCTTTTGCTTTCTTGTGTCAGGTGTACCACCATCATATTGCAGCATTATTTCTGCGTAATGCATCTATTCTCTTCTCCCTTTCGCCTGTATAATAAGTACTCTATGTTCGCTAATGATTGCGAAAGGTACGGTGTTCTATTTTATGTCATAGTAAAACAACTAATAAAAATGTTATTGCGTAACCTCAAATAATCCATAATATTTGCGCAATTTTAATTCCACCGTTTCTTAGCCGTGTAATTATTTTCATTTGATATTAATATCACGGTTTCTTTCTTCAAAATGTTAACTTTGTTTTCATCTAATATTAGCTAGCCAGAATTTTATCGATATAATTGAAAAATTATTAGGTTTCCTTTTTTTCTTTTTTTTTTTTTTTACAAACGACACTTGTCTTGTTATGTATGAAAAATGTTATTATACCAAAAAAAATGAAAGGAAAAAAAAAGAAAAATTACACTGCTGATCTCTTTTTGTTCAAAAAAACGTTTGCATTTTATATGAAGCAAAACGAATTAATTTCCCGCGTTAAATTTCGTAATCGGCGTAGTAATGTGATTGGTCTCAATGCCGGTAACTAGTCAAATAAGAATGTCAGTGTTTTATTTTTTCATGACGAAAACAAATTTTTATTAATTAGAAGAAATTTATGAAATCATTTATTATACTTGACAATAAATAAATTTTTACAGAGAACATTGAAAATGTTTATATATATTTATGTTTAAAGGTATTTAAGTTTCAATGGAATTTTTGTCTCTTTGATTGGTAGTCCATTGTAGCATCTGTCGTCGAGAGTAACTGCGGGCAATCAATTTATGCAACATGAAGATATACTTTTAATTTGTTCTTCAATTTGAAAAAGATTCTTTAACAGTGTTTACATGGTCAATTCGATTTTCTACAAATTGATATACGAGTGTGAAACGCTTTTCGCATTTCTTTCTTTTTGTTTTTGTTTTTTCTTTTTTGTTTTAAATTCAGTACAAAATATTAACAACAGTTACGTCATATCATTTGAATCGTTTAAATAGTGGTATATCATTTTATGTGACGTTAAGAAACTCTTTATAAGCAACAAGTATTAATAAGATCTTTTCATTGCTAAGATATAACAATTTTTTATGGCATTTAGAAAAGCAAATAACATTGAAAAATATTTCCTTGGTTTTGAAGAGTCATTTACAAAGAGTCTTGGTTAGTTAGTACAGCTTAATAAGTCAATTAAGCGTGGCTATATTCTCTTTTTCTACTTTTTTTTTCTTTTCTCTTTTATTTTTACATCATCCTTTTCTCAGAAATCAACTTCGAACTGTAATCTTTGTTTTTGTTATAAACGTTGCGTCGTACATATATGCATGAGGATGAAAAATGAAGACCTTCGATGTCGTTAGCTCATCACTATGATTAAATGGCCGTTTGTTTGGCCATATAAACATTTATATTAGTTTGTTCATTTGTGAAATCTTAAAAATCAACGTTTTACGACTGTTTCTCGGTATAGTTAATTTTATTGCGAAGAAATCTATTACAAATTAAACGGGAGTTATTATTCCTATCGATATATTTAATATTTTAATTTGATATTTCAGCATTAATCGTGATCAATTTCATTTTTTATTTCTAAATTTAAATTTCTTGTAATTTGATTGTGATTTCAATAATGATAAAAAATGTACTTAATTTATCATTATCGATTTAATTTTTATGAGAGAGAGAGAGAGAGAAGAGAGAGAGAGAGAGAAGAGAGAGAGAGAGAGAGACATGCAATCTTATATGGAATAAAAAATTCATAAAATTGCAAGATATTAGACTTTCTCGCTGGTGTTGTAATCTTATGATATATACAAGTTCTAAAGATCTACCTTTCACTTTATTCTGAATGCATTGACACGTTTAAAAGTTTCGCTAATCGGTTTTAATGAATTTCCATAAGAAAAAATCATCGCATTAAGTAGCAATCAAATTAATTATAAGATCCTTTGATTCGTAACAGTTTTTTGATAGGCAAGTGACATCTAGTGAGTTACGAATGATGTTTTATAAACAATCACACGTTTATTTAGAGTGGGAAAAGTAGAGGTACTAATTGAGCCCCAATTCTCAAAATAGCCAGAAAGAAATAGAATTTTATTATTCATCATGAGAAATAACTTTTGTCACAAATAATAAATTGTAATTGTTATATAATGCTGACCACTTATATTGCATACTCATTTTATTATAAATATTGATCATTTATTTAAAATACTGTTCCAATAAATAACAATTTAGAAATAATATTCATTTATTTAGTTTTATGATATAGACGAATATTTATACTTTACGTTATATAGGCATAGTTTATTAATATATATTATAATCCTTCTCACTGAGATTGAATCAATTAAGATAATTTACGAATCAACAATATTCGTTATTAGTTAAATGTTACATAATTTATGATAAATATTCGTTAACAAAATCTACAAATATGATTATACAACTACTTTATCTCGTATTTGCAAATGAATTTGAAAATATTTAATTTTTGTTTTAACGATTTTACGTTATTGATTTTGCTTTATTTATTATTCTAATATTTTATTATGTCTTGGCTACAATGATTTAAAAATACATCATTTTCGAGTGAAAAAGTGGAGATCAATGGAAAAATTTTTAATTTATATTCAAAAATTTTTTAAATACTATTAACTGACCGACATATTGTTTTCAACGCTGAAAAAATTTCTGTAAATACAAATACGATTGTTATGATTAAAGACATTAAACTATTTAAAAATTCTTAATTAATTCTTTTTATTTCTTTTCTCCATAATTGTACAATCTATAGCATAGATTGTTGTTATCCTATAACTTCTATCAAGGTAAATTGGAGCGACTGCTTCAAAAATTACATGCTAATTATTAAAATATAACAATGCTTTTAAAAACAGTCGACGAAGACGGAGAAAACGCCACTTAAAATTAATTGCATGACTTTTGCATTTCATTTTATTAGTATTAGAACATTATTTTAAGTATTCCAGTACTATTCATTTTTCATAGTTTAAATATAATAATCATATCGTCAGCGTTATGATTATAATGCGTTATATATCTTAAATTAAGAATTTATAGAATGAGATAAGGAAAATAATCGTATCTCTATATTTTTTTTTCATTTTGTAAATTTATCTGTTCTTCTATGGAATAATTCGGATACTGTATCGTATTTAATGGTACACTTGCTACATCGATTTTAGCGTTTGTGATATAATTGTAAAAAATAGGATAATAAAAAGAAAATTGTAAAAACTCAAGAAAATTCATAAATTATTCGAAATTAACGATATTAAAAGCGATTATTTAGAGGAGATAAAATATATTTTTTTCACAAAAACTGCCATATATTATTACATATGAATCGAAGTATTTAGAATTACTTGATTTTATATTTTAACTTGTATTTTCGAATTTTCGAGTTTAATTCTTCGAATGGACAGTTAATTTTAGTAATAATAATCGATCATTTGTCTCATTAATCACACTAATAAAAGTATTGCTTTTGCCATATAACATCCATCTCTTCATTGAGTTCAATGTTCAAAGATCAATATCTGTTTTTTCTCTCCTTCAGAAAACAGTGATGTAATAGATATATTTATCATAATTGCTAAATTATGATAAAATATGTTAGAACTGTGATCAAAAAAAAGTAAAATGTATTTCCAATGTCATTATATTTACATTTTTCAGACTTGGAATAAAAAAATATTATAATTATTTTGTTTTTTTTTTATGTAGAATATTTTTTAAAAACTGTAGGTTTTATATCAAAACCAAAAACTTTGATATTGAAATCTGGCAAAAAAAGTAAATGGCATAATATTTCCTCCTTAAAAATGAATTATTTTTATCTTATATATATATTATTTTTATCCGGTATATATATATTAAAATATAGTATTATTATTATATTAAATATAATTGAGACTTAAGAAAATCATTAAAAACTTCGTAAATAACAAATAATTTTATAATGATAAAATGAAATAAAATTAAAAAATACATACATATATATGTACATACACACACACATAACAAATATATATGTATATATATATTTTTTTTAACGACTATTAAATTCATACTGCGTTGTAATTCTGTTTTTTGAAATGTTGTTTTTTGAAAAGCTAAAGGCCAGTGATTCTGTTCAACGTAACCAATTTTAAAATATGTTATAATTGGTTTTTTAATTATAATATGAAAAATCAACTTTAATATTTACAATATACTTTTATTTATTTTATATGATTTTATTATAAATATGCATAGTAGGAATTTTATATATAATTTTAATGCCTAATGACCACAACTACATAAATAAGCAAAAAGAATTATAAGTATTTAAAAAAGAAAGAATATATTAAATTACATAAATCGAAAATATCGCAAGTTAAAAAAAAGATATTTATATATGTACTTTGCCTCAGATGACTCATAGGTATTATTAAATTTTTCTTATTAGACTTCTAACTTCAACCAGTTCAGGATATTTCATGAAATATAGCAGGATAATATGTATAGAATACGAAGCTTTATCCTAAAGAAAAAAATAAGTAAAATGGAAAAGAAGTGATGAAATATAATTGGAAAAAGTTGAGAAACACTGTTCGTCTATGCTACTTCCTA